ATAACCTTTCCTTTCTCCAACAATCTTTCTTTCTCCTAACAACCTTTAATTTTTTGACAAGCTTCTTTTTCTTGACAAACTTTCTTTTTCTGAAAACCTTTTCTTTTCCTGACAACCTTCCATTTTTAACAAACTTCCATTTTCCAACAACTAACAATCTTCCCTTCCCTAACAATCTTTCTTTCCCTGAAACCTTCCCATTCCTGACATTACTAGTTCATAATACCACCACTCTTTTATAAATACTATTACTTTTCAAAAACCTTTTCCTACACTATTCTCAACACTAATAATTTTGTGGCATATTTAAATATAAAAAATAAATTATTTAAAAAAAAAAAATTGCTAAATAAAAAAAGTAAAAAAAATTGATAAAAAAAATTAAAAATTTTGCCAGCCAATCAAATTTTAAAATCACATATATTCAAAATTTGCGTACTATGTACTGTAAATTTTGATTTATGTAATTTTAAAATTTGATTAGCTAGCAAAATATATTACGTATAACAAAATTCTTATTTTATTTATTTTTATATTATTTAAAATATTTATATTTAATATACTAATTTTAATTTATCTTTAACTAAATCTTAATTTTATTTCTAACTAAGAACCTATTTATAACCCTAAACTCAATCTAATTCTAACCCTAAAATTAGTATTCACAAATAGGTACACAAATTGAAGCCACAAGGAATGTTTAATATTCTGCTATCAAGCAATTGGGTAATGATAGAATGCGACTTGACAACGAAATATTAAAAAATCTTCTGCAGTTCCAATTCAGGTACCTGTGTAGAACACTACTTAAAACAAAATAGTGATAATTATCACACACCCTATCACATCGTTCACCAAGTCTAATATATCTTTTTCGAACTGAATTCTATCAGAATCAAAACCAATTGAAATAAACTATCCAATTATTTAAAGTTATTATATATCTACATGGACTATCTAACTCCTACCTAACAGAAAGAACTATCGATATTGCACAACTGATTCTTCACCCAGTGTGCAATATATAAAAAAATTATTTTACAATACCAGTCCATTCTGCTAGTAGATGTTATAATTTATTATAATAAAATGCTGTAGAATTATAAACATAACATGTATTGGCAGAATATCTATTCTCTTATCTATTGATCATTGCATGTGAATATAGCCAAGAAGAAATCATATAGCTGTAACGAGAATCGGTTATTAGTATTATATAGTGATATAGGTATTGTTACTTACCCATAGGTTTTTACACTGCTATTGCAGCTGTAGACCTAATCACAATATGAGGTTCTTGCACTGCTATTGCAGCCACAGAGCCTAATCACAATATGAGGTCTTTGTATTGTTATTGTAGCTATAGAGCCTAATTTACAACATGAGGTCCTTGCACTGCTATTATAGCTAAAGAGCCTGCTCAACAACTCAAAGTTCTTGTATTACTATTGTAGCCATGGAGTCTAATTACAATATGAGATTCTAAATTACCAAATACAAGCCTCTTGCACTGCCATCACAGCTGCAAAATCTAATTAAAACTATAAGGTTTTTGTCTAATAACCAAATGTATAGCTATTGTAGCCATGGGGCCTGATCATCAATCTGAGGTCCTTGTACTGCTATTGCAGCTGCAGAGCCTAATTATATATGAGATTCTTGTACTACTATCGTAGTCTTATTAGCATAAGGTCTTTGCAGCCATAGAGTCTAATCATAATATGAGATCTTTGCAGCTACAGAATCTAATTATCAACTTGAAGCTCTCATCTAATTATCAGCATAAGTCCTTTTAGGCTATTGT